AATCCGCCGACCCCGTCGGCGTGTGGAAGAGGCTGCTCCGTTTGACTCGTCTTCGTCGACATCGTCATCGTCGGCGCCGTCGCCGTCGCCGCTCCCTCTCTTTCCCTGGGCCCGTCGCCGCCCTCCCCTTTTTCTGGGCCCTCCTCCTCAAACGCGCCAGCCAGAACGAAATTGAGCAACGTCGTCATTGAATCGAAGGGAAGCCCCTTTCCTATGATCCCTTCCCCGCCAGGGGGGGGGGTCCTGGAAGGGTCCCGGCGGGTCGCGGGGGAGTCCCGGATCAGAATACCCCTCCCCCCCCCTTGGGTGGGCCGGGGGCCCCACAAATTCCCAAGACGAGCCAAAAGTGCCCCAAGAAGGCCCCAAGACGGTCAAGAGGACACCCCGAATCGCCGAACGATCGGCTCAAGACGTCTTTATGGCCTCCAGACGGTCCAAGAGGGCTGGAAGACGCCCCAAGAGGCCTCGAAGAGCACTCCCAAGAGAGCCCCAAGAGACAAAAGTCATTACATGTTCTTAAGTTTTTCAAAGATTTGGGCGTTATCGCCTTTTCAGCTTCCCGACGCTCCAAAATGGCCCATGAGGCTCCAACGATCGCCACAAGAGGCCTCCAAGAGGGTTCCGAAACGGGCCAAAGAGAGCCCGAAGACGGCCCAAGACGCCTGCAAGACGGGCCAAGAGGCCCCCAAGGGGGCTCGCTCCAAAACTGCCTGAGATGGCCTCAAGACGGTCCAAGAAGGCCCCGAGACGCCCCCAGCTTGCAAGAGGCTCCCCGAGAGGGCCCCAAAGGGGCAAAATTCATTGATTGCTCTAGGGTTCCTATTGTTGTTCGGGTTCTCGCCTTTTCGGGCCAAGGACCAAGGGGCTCCCACCTTCGCGCTCTCGCGCTCCGCGAAGCGCGAAGAACTTCGCGCTCTCGCGCCGCTCCCCCAAAGGGAGAAGAGGAGGACGAGGAGGGGGAGGAGGAACGAGGACCGCGAACCGCGAATAACTTCGCGCCCTCGAGGGCGCCCTTGAGGACGGCCCAACGAGCCAAAGAGGCTCCAACGATCGCCCAAGGAGGCTCCCGAGAGGCCTCCGAGATGCTCCCAACGGACCCCTAAACCTGCCCCCCCGGAGGCCTCCGAGGGCGCTCCGAAGAGACCCAAAACAGAATCTCTGAGGACTCTGAACCACGGCGTCGTCGTCGTCGTCGTCGTCGTCGTCGTCGGCGTCGTCGTCGGCGTCGTCGTCGTCGTCGTCGTCGTCGTCGTCGTCGTCGTCGTCGTCGTTGTCCCCCTTCTGGGTCGTCGGCGGCACTGGCCGTACGGCCTTCGCGATAACAGAATCCGCGCCTAGCTAGTTGGCTTATTTTGGCTGGATCTGAGCTGCCGCATTTTTTTGGGGGGGGGGCGGCGAGGACGCGACGGCCAGAAGAGGCAACAAAAAGGGCCAACACTAACAGGACTACGTGGCAGCTCCCCTCGGGGAGGCGAGAGCGGGAGGAACGAGACGAGGAGGAGGAGGAGGAGGAGGAGGAGGCGGAGGAGGAGGCGGAGAGGAGGCGGGAGGGAGGAGGAGGAGGAGGAGCGGAGGAGGAGCCCCATCTCCAATGCAGTTGCAGGGAGTCCCGCCGTACTTTGCGCCTCGTGGCTGACAAGCTGACCAGCAAGGCACGAGATACGAGCCAGAGGAAGAGGAGGAGGAGGAAGGAGAGGAGGAGGAGGAGGAGGGGAGGAGGGAGGGAGGAGGAGGGAGAGGAGGAGGGGGAGGAGAGGAGGAGCAGGGAGAGAGGAGGGAGGAGGAGGAGGAGGAGGAAGGAGGAAGGGGGAGGAGAGGAGGGAGGAGGAGGAGGGAGGAGGAGGAGGAGGAGGAGGAGGGGAAGGAGGATGAAGATGAGGAGGAGGAGGAGGAGGAGGAGGAGGAGCAGGAGGAGGAGGAGGAGGGACGACGACGAAGGACGGGCCTTGGCGCGGCTTGCATCACCGCCGGTCCGGAAGAGCTAGTGGCAGGCGAGGGCATGATCAAGGTTTCCCTGAGAGCGGCCGTCACCACCCTGCAATACACCGCCAATCCACAGACAAATCAATCCCCAGCCTGCGCAGGAGTCGGAGATGGAGTCGGGGCCCGAGCCAGCGTCGAAGGGGGCTCGGAGTTGGAGTCGGAGCCAACGCTGGAGTCGGAGACGGGACTGGGGTCGGAGACGGTGACGGCGACGAGTCGGAGCGGGAGTCGGAGCTGGCAACGGAGCTGCCATGCATTGTACTCCCCATTTCTTGATTTCAGTGTCGCGCTGCTACTCCCACTTATGTTGCCGGACGTCGTGAGACTGGTGGGTCGTCTTGCTTAGCCGTGCTGCTGCACGCACTCCTGGATGCCAGGTTCGTGTGGCTGCTCCCCCGTGTGCTGCTGGACATCGGAAACTTCCACTCTCGCCGGCTCAGGACCAATTGAAGCCAGATGCCGTCACACACTCCAGCATCGGCAAATGTGGCGCGTGCATTCTCCCTGTGGCCAAAGC